TGAAGGTGGAGTGAAAATTGATGAAAGGAACACTAACAATTTGTGATATGCAGATGATACCACATTACTGGTAGAAAACAGTGAACACCTGAAATAACTCCTGATGAATGTTAAAGCAGAAAGTGCCAAAGCAGGATTACAGCTGAACATCAAGGAGACAAAAGTGATGACTACTGAGGAATTACACAACTTTAAGGATGACAATTAAGAACTTTAAATTGTTAAAGGTTCTCTGTTCCTTGGCTCAATCATCATCCAAAAAGAGAAACAGCAACCAAGAAATTAGAAAAGCAGCCATGAAGGCCCTAGAAAAGATCCTCAAGTGTAAGGATGTGCCCCTGATGACCGAGATCAAGATAACTCATACCACAATAATTACTATGGGTGTGAAAGTTGGATGATGAAGAAGGCAGACAGGAAGAAAGTTGATTCATTTGAAATGTGGTGCTTGAGTAGAGTTTTACAGATACCGTGGACTGCCAAAAAGACAAATTAGTGGGTTCTACCTCAAATAAAGTTTGAACTCTCTCCCTAGAAGCTAAAATATCCAAAATGACTATAGTACTTTGGTCATATTACAAGAAGACAAGAGTCACTGGAAAAGACAACAATGCTAGGAAAAGTTGAAGGCATCAAAATTGGATTGACTCAATCAAGGAAGCCACGGCCCTCAGTTTGCAAGACCTGAACAAGGCTGTTAATGATAGGACTGAAGAAGTACTGAAGAATGATAGGGAAATGGCTGAGAAGCTGAATGCATTTTTTGCCCCTGTCTTCACTGTGGAAGATGAGAAGTGCTTCCCACTGCAGAAGCGCTGATTTCGGGAGGGGTGTTGAAAGACCTGAGTCAGATTGAGGTGATGAGGAGGTCCTACGACTGATAGACAACTTAAAAACTGATAAATCACCAGGCCCAGATGGCATACATCTGAGAGTTCTGAAAGAACTCAACTGTGAACTTGTGGATCTCCTGACAAAAATGTGTCATCTTTCATTAAAATCTGCCTCCATTCCTGAAGACTGGATGTAGCTAATGTCACTCCCATCTTTAAAAAGGATTCCAGAGGAGATGCGGGAAGTTACAGGCCAGTCAGTCTGACATCGATTCCGCGCAAGTTGGTGGAAACTGTTATTAAGGAAAGAATTAGTAGGCGCATTGATGAACAAAAACTATTGAGGCAGACTCAGCATGGGTTCTGTAAGGGAAGATCTTGTCTCACTAACCTGTTAGTGTTCTTTGAGGGAGTGAACAAACATGTGGACAAGGGGGACCCAATAGATGTTTACCCTGACTTTTGATAAGCTTTTGATACCAGATACCAGAAAGCTTTTGATAAAGTTCCTCAGCAAAGGCTCCTAAGTAAGCTCAATAGTCATGGGATAAAAGGACAAGTCCTTTTGTGGATCAAAAACTGGCTAATTAATAGGAAACAGAGAGTGAGTATAAATGGGAAATTTTCTCAGTGGAGGGTGGTAAGCAGTGGGGTACCACAGGGATCAGTACTGGTCTGATGCTTTTTAACTTGTTTATTAATGATTTGGAGTTGGGAATAAGCAGTGAAGTGGCTAAATTTGCAGATGACACAAAGTTGTTCAGGGTGGTGAGAACCGGGGAGGATTGTGAGGCACTCCAAAGGGATCTGTCGAGGATGGGCGAGTGGGCGTCAACATGGCAAATGGAGTTTAATGTGGTCAAGTGCAAAGTGATGCACATTGGAGCCAAAACCCCTAAATATAAATACACGTTGATGGGGTCTGAACTGGCAGAGACTGACCAAGATAGAGATCTTGGAGTCCTAGTAGATAACTCACTGAAAATGTCGAGACAGTGTGGGACTGCAAAAAAAAGGCCAATGCTATGCTGGGGATTATTAGGAAGGGAACTGAAAACAAATCAGCCAGTAACATAATGCCCCTGTATAAATCGATGGTGCGACCTCATTTGGAGTACTGTGTACAGTTCTGGTTACCACATCTCAAAAAGGATATTATAGCATTGGAAAAAGTACAAAAAAGGGCAACTAGAATGATAAAAGGGTTGGAACACTTTCCCTATGAAGAAAGGTTAAAGCGCTTGGGGCTCTTTAGCTTGGAGAAACAACGGCTGAGGGGTGACATGATTGAGATTTATAAGATTATGCATGGGATAGAGCAGGTAGAGAAAGAAGTACTTTTCTCCCTTTCTCACAATACAAGAACTTGTGGGCATTCAATGAAATTGCTGAGCAGTTGGGTTAGAACAGATAAAAGGAAGTACTTCTTCACCCAAAGAGTGATTAACACATGGAATTCACTGCCACAGGAGGTGGTGGCAGGTACAAGCATGGATGGCTTCAAGAGGGAATTGAATAAACATATGGAGCAGAGGTCCATCAGTTGCTATTAACCACAAGGTATAGATAGGAACTCTCAGTCTGGGGCAAGTGATGCTCTGTATTATTGGTGCTTGGGAGGGGGGCAACAGTGGGAGGGCTCCTAGTATCCTGGCCCCACTGCTGGACCTCCGGATGGCACCTGGTATTTTTGGCCACTATGTGACAAAGTGTTGGACAGGATGGGCCATTGGCCTGATCCAACATTGGCTTCTCTTACGTTCTTATGACATTCTGGAGGTCATTAATTCATAGGTTCATGTAAGTTGTAAGCAAGTTGATGGCACTTCACACACACACACACACACACACACACACACACACACACTTTGAGAACTGGACTGACAATAAGGCAGGCTCAATTCTCCCAAGCACACAAAGAGCCTACTCCAAGGCTTAAACTATTCACTTCTAATCCAGTATGCTAACCCAGTGTCAGCTGTTATATACATACATAACTTTAAGGCTTGATGTCCTTCATACAATGCCACCTCTTTCTTTTTTTCCTCATTCCTAAGAAATGGGTTTAGCATGATTCTTCTTCATCTCTTCTTGCCATCTATTGGGATACTCTCCCTTTGGATTTCCTGCACTGAGCAGGAGGCTGGACAAGATGACCAATAAGATGCTTAAGGCTTCTAGTGACCAATAAAGATCTTTTAGAAACAGAATGTGCATATGCTTTTATGTGAGAGTAAGACTTCTGCGCAAACATGCACAAGCTACATGAATAATTTTAAAAAGCAATATGTATTTTGCTTCTTAAACTATATTTATTTCTATTATGCTCTTACACAGTACTCCCAATTATTGCCCATCCAGATTACTATTCTGATTTATACCTGCTCAGCTGCAGCATCCAGTGAGCCCAGAAGAGGCACTGAACCCAGATGATGTCTACTATTACTTCAAAGGAAACACATGAACCTTCAAATGTCAAAGAATTTGTGAGGCAGACCGAAAAGTAACCATTTATTGACTAAATATAAACTGAAACTAGTTATAAATGCAAACTAACAGCCCGATTCTATGCATTTTATTCATTTTAATAGGGATTACTCTCAGTTAAAAACGCAAACAAAGTCATTTTAGAAAGGTAGTGGATTAATTACAGAGTTAGCATTTTAAGCACTCATGGGCAATTGGAAGATTAGGTGACACACCACTGTAATGACCCAAAATCTAATATTCAAGCCTTAAACTACATACCTAACCGGCAAATGAGTTTGTAAATGTTTCAGACAAGTCATTTTCAAATTACGTATTTCCTTATTATCCCTAAAATGGCCTTATGTTATCTCAGGGTAAGTGACATAAGTGCTGCTATTTGTGAAATATGAAAGTGAAAGGATTCCTTCATAAATATTCCTGAATGTTATACCTCAGTGTTCTGTGTCCAAGGTTAAACACTACCTTGTTTTAACAGCATCAGATTCAACAGCCTCTAAACACAAAAGTCAGTTTTCAGCTGGCAAACAGCAAACTGCAGAAATTATTAGGTGTTATATTATTTTGCTATTACATTTGGAAACCTAACAGCAAAAAGCACAGGAGAATAACAGAAATTAAGTCATCCTTACGGTATGCAGAGCATACTTAGTACAGTGCCAACATAATACAATGCCTTCCCAAACAATAAACGGTCAGGTTTCTAAAATGCCACTGTTGCCCTCTTTCAAGAAATAATCCAGAGTTTCTAATACATTGTGTTTCTATTCTATTGCCTTTTCCCAGTGCTAAACGTGATACAGTTTGTAGCCTGGAGCAATGCAGTTCTTTCTCAAGCTAACCGATCTCAAGAAGAGAACCAGTGTGGTGATTTGAAGCTTGGAATATGCCCTGAGACTAGAGTTCAAATCCCCACTCAGCCATGTAAAGAAACCTCCAAGCCTTACTGGGTGATCTTGGTCCAGTCCCTCTCTCTTAGGATATTCTGTCTCAGCCATTCATGAGCAGCTTGAAAATGACAGAATAACAATGTATAGACTGGCACGGCGAATACGGTTGTGTAACTAGATATCGAACGTGCCAAGGCAACACACGGCTTCCTTTACTGGAGTTCGTTTTATTTATTTATTTTTCCTTCGACGTCTGTATGATCCTGGTGTATTAGCTTTGTTTTTTTTTAAAATTCAGATAAGAACAAGCCTTCCCCCTTTTCCAACCTGTGGAACAACGGGGGTGGGGGGCGAGTTTGGTGGCAGCACGCTGCCCCAGCTACGAAAAGCCCGCGCTACAGCCCACATCCAGTACTGTCGCAACGAAGGGGAGAAGTTGTGGAACGAGTGGGAAACTAATAAACAGCGGCCCCTGTGGGCGAACTGCTAGCGGTATCTGGGAGGGGAAATGGGGAGAAGCAGCTGGGGGCACCGTAGAAGGCGAAGTGAGGAGCTGCAGCCGCTCGACTGCGTGCATAGAGCGAGATTACTGGCGGGACAAAGGCGGCTCTCGGCAGCTGCAAATCAAGAAATTAACCGGGACAGTCCACCTCTTTGGAATAAAGGCGGCTGCCCTTGGGCCGGCAGCTCCCGATGGGGCCGCCGCAAGGAAGGAGACCCCGCTTTAGGTCTCACGGAACGAAGGGGAGCTACCCCGAGGAGCGGGAAGGGGAGGGGGGAGGATAAGTACCTTTTCTCCGGTCACTACATGCATCCCTTCCCGCACTTTGGCAAAGGAGCCCTCGCCCAACTTCCTGCCGATCAGATAGTTGCCAACGCGCTTGATGTGCTGGAATTCGCGAAGCCGCTCCCGGGACGCCGCCGCGTTGACCCAGGCCGCCAGGAAAGTTCCCTCCGGGCCAGGGGGAGGCGTCGTGGGCTCACCCCCGCTGTCGCCGAAGCTGGCCGCTGGGGGCTCGCTCAGGAGCCCGTCGCCAGCAGCTGCCGGCATCTTTCCGCCGCTGCAGCCGCTGAGCTTCGCTGCAAAGGGTGGCGCGGCTTCCTTTTTCTCGCCCCTGCTGCAACCGAGCGAGCCTCACGGCGGTGCGGACCTGCTTCGGCAAAGACGGTCTCGAGCTGCCGCCGCCGCCGCCGCTCCCCACGCTTCAGTCTGCAGCACCCGCCTGCCAATGTGACCAGCACCCGCCAGTCCACGTGGGGACCCGACGGCGCCCGAATAACTGCAGAAGCAGCCTGCTTCTCAGTGCAATGATGCCATACAAAGGACGAGAAGCCTCCTCGGAGGACTCTGGCTCGCTTGGTCGAAATCTAGCACGATCCCCGCGGCGACAACGAGACTCTGCGGCCAGCGAAGGCGAGCGGCAATGCTACGACGCTGGGGGCTGCACATCACGTTGAAGAAGGAGCCAGAGCCAGCTCCCGCAGATCAATTGTCTCCAGTCTCCCTGGAAGCCAGTTGGCTGCCTTCTCCTCATTGAATCTGTCGATCACTTTTCTCCTCCCTCTCGTACCGTGCCTTGCTGTCTCCTGGTGCTGATGGCTGAGGCTCCCTTCCCCCCTATACTGCGGGGAGGGGTCAGGAAACGGGGGGGGGAGTCTTGTTCAGGCTGAATTTGCAGTAATTTAATCCGATCACCCTCTTGGGGAAAAGATATAATGAAAACTCGGCCGCAGCCGTGATCCTTTGGAAACTGGGGTAGCTTTCCCTTTTCGCTCCCCCCACCCCTTTTAACTGCAAGTACAGGTCTACCAATAAAACAAAATCTCATCAAGATTCTTTAGTTCTAGAGAGTTTTCAAGAAGGCACCTTAAATTCACGAAGAAACTGCATTTCCCTTTCTCTCTCTATAATTAGGGCACTCACGCAGTGAGGTGACTCCTTTTCCCAGCAAAGCTTGGTTTCTTTTTCTCATGATCTCTTTTATTCTTCCCCATAATGTTTTTTTAATGCTGCTTTCCCCACCTTTCCTTCTTGAAAGCACTTCACTTTGCTTTCACTTGTCTGCTGGTGAAATGTGCTCCAGAGCTCAGATCGTGACAGCCGTGCCAGTAAAGCATAAATACTCCCCCCCACCCCTTTCTGATGTTAAGAAAGCCAGGCTGAAAATGCAATTATCTGGGGGAGGGGGAGAGACTCTACCCTTAACTGTGCATTATTTTTTTATTTACAGCTGGTAGCCTCCATTTTATGTCCTCATCAACATTATGTGTTTATCAGTTCCCCAAATGCATCTTTCCAGATCATTAATACTGCATCTTTCTTCCTAACTGTACTTTAGAACCTTACACTATTCCTAAAACAACTCCTGATGCAAATAAAATTACTGGCAAGATGAACAGATGGGAAATTGAGTGAGAATGATTCCACATTAGGCAAACTCATGAAGAATATCAGTGGTCCCAGAAGAGTCAATACACCTACTTATATGTACCTTAAGGCTGATTCAAACACTACAGGTGCTCCATGGAAGCTGGAAATGCTTCCATTTGCAGTGGCCCCACAGAGATTACATAACATTTTCTCAGCATGAAGTGTACACGAACTGTGTGTATGAATGCTAGAAAAAAAATATCAAAATCAACCTGACAGCATCAAAAACATTCCTGCAAATACAGCCTTTGATAAAGTAGTTAGTAGGTAGGGGCAATGAAATAAACCTTCAAGATCTTAAACAAAGCCCAGTCTAATGGAACATTCTCCTGAGATGTCTTGACAAATGTAGCTAAGAAGGGACTCACACAAGAGCAATAATAAAGGCTGGTTTCTATATCTGAAGGAGATCAATTAACTTCTGAAAGAGATGCTTCTAAGTAGGGTGCTATTCAACATCTCCAGTCATGACACCAAGGGTTTATCCCATGCCACTTCATTAAAGCCTGGAAACAGTAACTATGTGAGCAGTGCAAATCGAGTGGTTTCTTCTCACTTTTCCCACCTAGCCTGAAAATATATAGGAAAGATCCATGTTACTGGCTTCACCTAAGTGGCTGCTTGCTTCATTCATACACACTTGGAGACATGGCACCAACAGTAGTGCCTCCCCATCTATCTTATTTATTAACAAAATTTATATCCTGCCTTTCTGCCCTTACAAGGGTCAAAGCAATGAACAATTTAAATAATACATTATAAAAACATTAAACACCCTCTCCTAAACGTATCTCATTGAAACAACTTTTAGAAGCTAAAATACATACAAAACACAAAGCATTAGGAAGGAGGGATCAGTGTTGTTGTTGTTCAGTCGCACAGTCGAGTCCGACTCTTCGCGACCCCATGGACCAGATCATGCCAGGCCTTCCTGTCTTCCTCCGTCCTCTGAAGTTTGTTCAATTTCATGTTCATTGCATCTATGACACTGTCTAACCATCTCATCTTTTGCCGTCCCCGTCCTTTGACCTTCAATCTTTCCCAGCATCAGGGTCTTCTCCAGTGAGTGCTTCCTTCTCATTTGGTGGCCAAAGTATTTGAGCTTCAGTTTCATTATCTGGCCTTCCAGGGAACAGTCAGGGTTGATTTCTTTTAGGATTGACTGATTTGATCTTCTTGCAGTCCAAGGGACTCTCAAGAGTCTTCTCCAGCACCATAGTTCAAAAGAATCTATTCTTCGGCACTCGGCCTTCCTTATAGTCCAACTCTCGCAGCCATACATGACTACTGAAAGACTATTGAAAGAGGTAGTCAATCTTTAAAGGTACAATTGTGGTCTTAGGGTACTGTCTCAGTGATGATCTGGTTCTTATAGATCCACATGGGTCAATGCAGGGGTAATTCATGAGGACAACCAGATGGATTTCACCTAGAGAACTGGTGTTGAGTAGTGATGGGCATGAACTGGGAAAATGTGGTATGGTTCATGGTATGCCAGCTTCATGAACCATGAAACATCACAAATAAACCAGTTTCATTTGTGAGGTTTGTGACATGGTAGAACACCCCTCAGCATGATAGAGACACCAAACTCACAAGGGATATCCGGCTAACCCACCTCTACCTACATGCCAAGGTTGGTGAGGATTGAATTTATGGGGTTCGAGTTATGGCTCCCCCAAAGAAGGTGTCCCCAGGAAAGCATTTTCTGGGGAAATGACAAGCACAGGTTCATGAGGGTCAGGATTGTATAGAATGGATCCTGTGCAAATTAAAGATGCCAAACATGCAAGAGATCTCCAGATGACTCTCCTCTACTTGCCCTCCAAGTTTGATGAGGATTGGATTTATGGGGTCCAAGTTACAGCCCCCCAAAGAAGGTGCTCCTATGGAGGGAAAAACAGCAAAAAAGCAAGGACAACAGAAGCCATGCAGAACAGAATCGAAGTCCCAGAGAATCTCTGCAGTAGAAACTGAAGGTTGGAGGCATTTTTGCAAGCCCAGCAGAACCAGTGCAATGTGCCCAGCAGAACTAGTGCCACTGTGGCACTGTGAACCCAACAGGACTAAGGTCAAGTCAGGGAAGTGTTTTTTGGGGGGACATGTCAGACACAGGTTCAAAAGTATATAGAATGGACCCCCTGCAAGTTACACACACCAAATGCACAGGGAACCTCACCCTGCCACCTGCTCTTTTACAATCTCTTCAAGTTGGGGGTGGATTACATTTCTGGCGTCCCAGTTACAGACTCCCCCAAAAAGTCTCTCCAATGCTCTTTCCAGAAAAGACAGCTGCAGTTACAGGAGTCTATGGAACAGCTCAGAAATAAGACAGCAAACTCACAGGGAAAGTTCACCTGGGCAGACCCCCCCATCAGACAGTGGAACCAAGGCAAGCATCCCCCCTATGCTTGCAACCCCC